ACAGGGCTCACTGATTGGGCGTGTGTGAAGGGTGGCAGAGGGGACTCCTGGACCAATCAACAAAAATGAATTGCGAATAGATTCATGTGTAATATTCATGTGCTAACGTGATAATATTCATGTGATAATGTTCACCCGAATGTAGACTCCTACCTACACAATATCACAGCTGGTCCTCGAGCGCTAGAGATCTTTAATGTGCTCTGGGGCTATTGACTAATTCCAGGATGGCCATAGCTTAGCATTTTGCGAGATAACATCATCCCTCTTTGGTGAGACCTTTATTCAGGCCTGAATGCTCTGAGAAGATTTATCTCAGAGACCAAAGGGAACTGCAGGAAGTGGTGTCTCATGATGAGCAAGTACATGTGCTTCCTCTCACTGGGGCAGCTGGGGAGGCTGCCAAGTGTAACATGTTTCTGTATTGTCTCTCCTCCTCCCAGAATTCTGAAAGGGCAGCAACCCCATTCACCACTGTACAGTGAGTGGCTGGCAGAGTCAATGTGCAATAACATTTGCTAAACAACTGTGGAACAAAATGGCAGCAGAAGACCACAGGGCTTAGAGATAACCTAAGTATCCCTAAGAAACCATGTTTTAAGAGAAAACGGCAATATCCAGGCCAATACAGAAGAAAAGGAATAAAGTTCAGCTCCTCAGAGAGGACGGAGGTTGAGTAATCAGTAAGAGCCCTAGGATGGAGCCAATAAATGAGAAATAGTGATTTTGCAAGAGACAGTACAAAGAGCTATGTAATAGTCATTGTTGGGATTTTGCTGTTAAACTGGATGATCTCATCACAGGATCATCAAATGTCAGAGCTGAAAGATTTTAGAAAACTTCTGAATCAATTTGCTCATTTTATAGATGAGGAAAATAAGGTAAAATAGCTTTAGACTAGAACCCAGTTTGTTGGACTCCAGATTCCAAATTCTTTCTTACTGCACTGATTAGCAGTTACATTAAGCTCCTTTTCCATATGTGGGTTCAAGGAGGAGTTTTCAGCAGCAAGCTAGAAAGACAGCGTTCTAAAGTCTAAAATCTGTTCCCAAGTAAAATTCTCGTTTTATAATTCTGTTCCATGAAGAAAAATTCATCTTCCTTGATAAACTTTTCCTTTTTATTTTATTTATTTATTTACTTAGAGACAGAGTCTCCCTTTATTGCCCTCGGTAGAGTGCCATAGCATCATAGCTCACAGCAGCTGCCAACTCCTGGGCTTAGGCGATTCTCTTGCCTCAGCCTCCCGAGTAGCTGCTACAGGTGCCTGCCACAATACCCAGCTGTTTTTTGTTGCAGTTTGGCCAGGGCCAAGTTCAAACCTGCCAGCCTTGGTATATGGAGCTGGTGCCCTGCCCACTGAGCCACAGGCGTCACCCAACTTTTCCTTTTTATTCAGTGAAAAGGAGGTAGCTCATCATGGTTCCCTTTTTCACAGGGCTGCCAGGAAGCTTAGAGCTAAATTTAACACTTAATCCTACTAACAAAAGTACTGTGTGTTTTTGACAAATAGTACTCCTTTTTCCCTCTTCTTTATGACTTTTCTTTTTTAAATAACTATTTCAATGGCCTTATTGTATAAGTGTCTTTTACTATACATCGTCTCAAATTCTTTTTGGATGACAGCCAGGTATAAATCACCAAAAAACCAAAATAGAAGGAAGATTTCATTTCTCTTGTGCCCCAAGACTGCTTTCACTATGGTTTCCGTTTTCAGATTCCACCCTTGACCAAAAAACTCAAGACGTTACCTCCTGGCTTTATATTTATAGAGAAGGAGGCCACCACAGGACAGATTGCATACAAATGACTAGTTATAAAATTGTAGGGTCTGCCTGCTAACTAGGCAAGTCCTTGGAAACTTCTCAGAAATGAAAACAAGATGTGGAGGGAGAGTGCTATGTTTCCTGCATTGACGTGGCAAAACTTCACTTACAGCAGAACCCTGGGGGAGGCAAGGCAGCCCAGACTGGGATGGTAAGCAGGTGGTGGACTATGTCACATCCAACTCCAGGCTTTCAGCTAACTTCAGCCACAAGTCTTACCCTCCCCAGGCCGGAGAAATGAGATCACGAAGCCTTCAACTCTTCTGGATTCTAGCCACGTAAAGAGATTAAAGCACTGGTTTTCTGAAAGCACGAGGCTTTCTCTTCCCTCCCTAAATGAAATTCCTACTAAACCACAAAAATTTAACCCAAGCAGAACTAGGAAAGCAATAAAGGAGTCCATGCAGGGATCTTTCCTTCTGCACCCGTACGACTTCAATTCTGTTGCCATTTCTGTGGAGGTAGCAAAAGAAACAATAAATAAGTCCCAGAAAATGTCAACTGTTTATGCATTTGAGCCTGAAACTTCCTGTGGCTTTTGTTTTTTACTCTTTCCCGAGTTTTAAATTTTTCTTCTTTATTCCTCTGGTGTTGGCCATGATTTCCATGATAATCTAAGAGATATGTTCAAAAGAAAAATGGCTTCAAGGATACTGCTGCTCCTGAAAATAGTCCTTGCCTAAAACATCCATTTGGATTCTGTTCATGATCTCTTCCTAGTCAGAGCCAATTTGTTCTGATAGAGACAAAAGATGCTGCTTTGATGTTCCCAACACCTTGAAGAATGAGACAGTTCCAAAAATCTATGGCATTTCTGTAGAAAAAAATCTCAGTAAAATTGAGAATCACAGGCATTCTATGACATTGTATTGTTTATTGTATGACACCAGTATAGCAGTAAATGTTCAACCAGAAAAGACACTGCATCCTTCTCTACCATATTACCTGTGAACCTCAGACAAATTGCTAATCCTTGCATAGTACTTTCCATTCCACATCTGTAAAAAGACGATAACATTAGTACTTACTTCACAGAGCAGGTTCCCAAACTTGGGTGTACGTCAGAAACAATGAGAGGGCTTGTTAACTAACAGGCAAGGTGGCTCATGCCTATACTCCTAGAAGTTTGAGAGGCTGAGGCAGAAGGATCCCTTGAGGCCAAGAGCTCAATATCAGACTAGCAACATAGCAAGAACCCCCTCTCCCCCAACTACAAAAATTAGCCAGGCATGGAGGTGCCGGCCTGTAGTCCCAGCTACTTGGGAGGCTGAAGTGGGAGGATTGCTTGAATCCTGAAGTTGAAGATTGCAATGACCTATGATGTAACCACTGCGGTCTAGTCTGGGCAATAGGGGGAGACTCAACCTCAGAAAACAACAACAAAACAGATTACTGACCCTACCCCATGGTTTCTGATTCTATAAGCCTAGTTTGAGGCCTGAGAACCTACATTTCTAAGAAGTTCCCAGAAGATGCTGGTGCTCCTAGTCCGAAGGCCACACTCTGAGAACCACTATCAAAAAGTTACGGTGTGGATTACATAGTTGTACATCTTAAGTGTTAATAGTATTTTTTTTTTTTTTGAGACAAAGTCTCAAGCTGTTGCCCTGGGTACAGTGCTGTGGTGTCACAGCTCACAGCAACCTCAAACTCTTGGGCTTAAGTGATTCTTCTGCCTCAGCCTCTTAAGTAGCTGGGACCACAGGCACCTGCCGCAATGCCCAGCCATTTCTCTGCTACAGCTGTCATTGCTGTTTAACTGGCCTTGGCGGGGTTTGAACCCACTCCCCTCCTTGTCTGTGGCCAGTGCCCTACCCACTGAGCTATAGGAGCCGCCTGTTAACAGTATTCTATGTGCTGCTATTAGCTCTGTCCTCGTCAATAATATTAAGTGGAGTCAGTTCTTATCTTACCAGTGTCCCATCAAATTTAGAAATCATAGTAGATGATTTAATCTATTATTATAAAACTCTGTATAGAGGAGGAAAAAGTCTATTAAATTCCTAACAGAATATTCTTATTTTATTATTAGAGACACAGTCTCACTCTGGCTGCCCAGGCTGGAATGTAATGGCACAATCATAGTTCACAAAAAACCTGGAACTCCTGGGCTCATGAGAATATCCTTGTTTTAAAGACTGTATACACTGAGACTGGGTTGTACGGTAATTCCATAGATTGTTTGGTTTCTCCTCTAAAACAGATCTGTACATTTATTATGAGGAAGAAGAGAAACAAAAGCTGGCACAGCTACTCTCTGAGGTCTACTTTCGTGTCTTCTCTTAGTTAGCAAAAGTTCCAAGCACACTTAGTCATTACGGTCAAAAGGAATTCTTCAACTCTGTTTCAAGTAATTAAGGAGCCCTGCAAACGTGGACGTTGCAATGGCAGTTACAAACAACAGCTTTGAAAGGGCAGAGGAAACAGATCACTACGAGACAAGAGGATTGTTAAAAAGCTCTTCACAACAAAGGAAATGAACGCAAATCCCTAACCTGCGGGCGTTCCAGCAACCCTAAGGCCAAAGATAAAACGCTCTGATGAAAAGCTGTGGAGTGTTAAGCTTTGTGTAGGGAAAGAGAATATCAAACACAGGGTCGAAGGTTAAGATGTTTTTCTTGTAAGACCCTTTGACCATACTTGAGCCTGAAACAAAATGAGGAACAGGAAACCCCCACTCTTTCTCTCCCGTGCCACGCATCACTCCTACCAAGGGGAAAACTTTTTAACAAACTTAGGTCAAGTGCCTCTTGTTCTAAGCACAGGGTACTTATGGTTGAATGAGAGGCAGCCAGTCCTTGGTAAATATCTAACTTTTCCAACTCAATCTAATCTAAGTTTTCGGTAAAAATTCTCCAGTGAAACACGAGAATTAGATAAAGCATTCTTGCTTGCATCGGGATAGCTTTTGAAAAATTAAACAAAGGGAGTATGTGTGCAAGAACGCAAAAATACGCCTTGTTTTGACAGTTTCAAATTGTATTAAAAACCCCTCTCCCTGACATTTCTCCAAAAACATACATAATGACCAGCACCAAGGTGGGTCTTCATTTCGCCCACGGGTGAAATTTGTGGAGTCGGTCCCTCCAGTCCACAGTCTCCCTCGGACTTGGCAAGGGTGTAAGGAGCGAGACACCGGTCCCCAGATGGGATTCTGGGGTTGCCACGACTCACCTCGCCAACTTGTCCAGTCTCCCCGCGCCCCGGCGGCCCGCTCGGGGGCGCAGACGTTGGGGCCCGCGCC